CAATTGGTCAGTCTACACAAGGGGGTGTTATTTATAAAAAAAATATTGACCACTCTCAAGTGTTTAAAATGGCGTGCTCTCTTTAACGATAGCAATGGAAGTGGTTGAACAAAAGTGATATTTTGGGGGGGTCTTCTGATAAATGATGAATTTCGAGCTATGAAGATTCCACATGACACCAGCAATACGCACGGAGAGAGAAAGAGATAGAGAGAGACTTCTATTTGAGAGAAAAACCCACTCAGATTACTTTCCCAAATTATTATTGGGTCATAATCCCTCGACTAGCCTTCTTATGACGACTCTGAGCTGACATGATCTTGTATCAGATGTTGCACTCAGATCTTGTCTCGGGGCATCGGGTGCGCACCACCGTAACGACCCAGTGGCCATGTAGCTGACAAGTACATGTCTTCATGACATTCACGCTCACTAACTCGAAAACTGTGTTTCCATCGACTCATGACCACCAGGGTTTTTTCTTCTACTGTCCTTGGGAGCGCCTTGCGGCAGTTAAGTTCCAGCCTTTTGTGCCATGCTCTTAAAAATAGAACACTATCTTAACCTGAAATTGTCCGCCACGATAAAATCAGCCCGACCGCCGCGTCTCCTCGCGCTCTCATCAAGTACCTAACAGAACAAGCGAGCCTTTGCGGCAAAGAAGAGAGTGATGGCGGTTATTACAGGCCTCAGGTGGAGGGCCACGCACAGAGAGAGAGAGAGGGAGAGAGAGAGAGAGAGAGAGAGAGAGAGAGAGAGAGAGAGAGAGACTCGACGACTAGAGACAACGGCGAAAGAGCAGATTGACAAGCGAATTCAGCGGCGTGATTAATGTGACAACCTTTGAGAAAAGGTTATGGATCCGTAGGGAACACTAATGTGTGCCGGACATGGAAGAGGAAGAGAAGCAGGGCAGGAGTCAAGTGAGGCTGGAGAAAGTCATCTCACTTGTCAGCTCTGTTTGGGTCTCCAGCGCCGATCCTCAACATTAAAACGGAATCGTTTTCACATGCAGTAACACATTGTTACTGGGTGTCTCCTTCCCTGCATACATACGAAATGAATTTTAGCAGCAATTAGGAACCATTTCTTTTTTTGCTCCAGGGCTCCCCCTACAGTTCTAACATGTCTTTTATCCTTACAAGGTACGAGCCCTGCCAGGAATACTGCAAAGGTTTACAATTGCCTATCATGAGGTATGGTGAGATTTCCCATCTGACTTTGGGTAAGAGGGTAGGTAAACCCTGGACTGGTCGCCAGCCAATCACAGGCTCAGGCTCGGGGTCGCCCTCGAAGATCAATAACTCATCACCGCTGCTGACTCTCCCGAGGAAGTCTGATCTCACTGGCCTCATCATCACTCTGCTCCTTACTTAACGGCCTGACATATAACGTGGAAAAATGTTTAATGGCTGAAGAGAGCTGAGGTCCCATTTATTAACTCCAGAGAGACAGTTTGTCGTTGGAGTTGGAAAAAAAATCTTTTGGAGCACCTGCCATCGAATTTTTTCTGACACAATCACCGTCATACCAATGGAAAATTTTGAGTCTTCAAAGAACATAACATTTTTGCAAGCACGCAAGCATCTGGAAAGTTGATGTTGACAGTGCAGTTCAATGAAAAAGGACATCCAGAAGCAACACGGAGAAAAGGTCGTAAACATTTCGATCTTTTACTTCGGAGAGGAGAGCGATTTAGTTATCAACAGGCTGCATGTACGACATAGTACTTACCACACTGTTGAATTTACTCAGTTTTATTTTGTCCAGTGGTTGCTCAAAATAAAATCATGTAACTGGATCAAGATTCTTTTTTATTTCGTGTAGATAGTATTCTCCTGGTAGGATTAGCACCAAGAAGCGAAATTCAAAAATGGTTCTGGATAGTCACCCAGCCTTGTCGCCAAGTCACGGATGGAGAAATTAGCCAAGGGTGGAACCTCGGAAAATCATTTTCAGATGCAGGCAGAATGATTGACTCGGTTATTTAATTTCTCATTTGACTTGCATGCGGTCCAGAGACAAACATAAAAAAAAAAAAGTCAGTTAAATAGAATATATGGCCATACTTTCCTGGTAAATCAATGTCAGTCACTCTGAAAGAAGCACAATGACTATATATTCCATAATATTCATTCCTCTGTTTACTAATTTACAGTAGGCATGCTTCTATTATCATTCTGTTGCTGCAGTTGCTTGATGAGTGAACTACCGCTTCTTTGCTTCGCCGAGTACGAATGCAAACGGCGACAGTCTGCCTGATCTGTTCTCTTCGGTTGCCTGCAATCATGCAACGGCAGGGCGCAGCGCCATTATGGGCTAATTATGGGCAAGTAATAAGCGGTTGTCTGTTGCCCCGATGAAGACTGGGAATGAAACATTCTCTTCTGGATCGGGCATTTGCGGTCGATGCGTTTTTCTGTAATAAATATTTTTAGCGCATTTTGTCTGCGTTTCTGGAATCCAAAACGTTATTCGGTTCGGTTCAGAACCTGACAACATTTACCCACAGATTTGTAGAGTCCCACTCTGAAGTACCTTTGGAATTCTTTGATTGATGCAACAATGGGTGAAGTGTAATCATGAAAGAACAAAATCCAATTATTGTGCGGAATTGGTTGTTGATTAATCGCGTCTTGAAGTCATTGAACCAACATGCAAAGGGGATCCTCGGGTGTCTGTTAACTTCTACCGTTTGGCAAAGCGAGAACATCCACATGCAGCCATGACACTCAGTCACTTTCTCCCAACAATGAGCAATCCGTAGCTCCTCCCCCAAATACAGAGATCTTTGAACAGCAAAGATCGATAATCTTACACAAACATTTTTTCCGCTAAGTCCTTGAACAGCCCAGAGAAACGGCAATGATTGACATGCCATGTTGTTAATAGAAAACTATTTCATTGAAATGCCGCCCCGTGCCGCCGTACGTATTGCACATACTAGAAACTGCCACTGCCCATGGAAAATTCAGCCAGCAGTTTACTGTTTGAAGAAGAACGTGACATCGGCTAAGGCGCAGGTGTCAAATTCCGGTCCTCGAGGGCATTCAGATGATTAGGATCATTACCAGGCTCCTGCAGAGCTTGCTGATGAGCTTAACACTTGAATCAAGTGTGTTGGAGGAGGGAGACATTATTGGCGATGTTTTACGTTATGTGTTGTGTTGTATTATTTTCCGTTAAATGTTCTTTAAAGCGCTTTGTAACAGCTGCAGCTGTTGTGAATGCATTCTATCAATGCAAACAGGCATGTTCATCTCTGGCCTTTGAGGACCAGGTTTGGTCATCCCTGCTCTAAAGCAGCTCGTGGACGGGAGTATGATACCTGTGAGATAAGGCCTACATCCACGCACACCTCTGTACTCATTTTAGTTGAGCTCCCATCCTGTTTTTAAAGTTCAACTCCTCCTCAGCAACGCTGCTGGGAAATCGTGACTGTGACAATGTGACTTGCTTTCACAGAAACATTGATGTAAAGCCCCATCGTAGTCTTTCCAGAACACGCTAGAGTGGCTCTGAGAAAAAAAAAAAAAAAAAAGGGACGAAGAAAGTTTACATTGGCATCACTCAAGATAGAGATGCCTGAGCCTGATGCGTGCTGACGCTGATGGTGCACACTGGTGACCTTTGGGCCGCCAAGTGCACTCAGACAACACCCTCTGCATGCCTTTCAAGTCCCCAAGCACACGAGCCAACCGCGGCTGTGTCTGTGAAACTTTAGGAGGAGCCGCTGACAGCAGGCATCTGCCAACAAGCACTCACTCACTCACTTCTTCATCAAATATGAAAATGAAAAAAAAAACAAAAAAAAAACCATATTGTCCACAATAGTGATGTTCAACTTTGAAACAACCAAACAGGTGAATTAAGTATTTTGGATACCTTATGAGTGATGTAAACCTTTGCTGTTTGTTCATTGGTCAGGCAGATTTGTCATGCACACGTCATTGTAAAATTTGAGGATAGAAAGCAGGAAATGACAAAAATAAACACATGCACGTTGCGGGGCCTTAGCGCTGGGCATTCCAGTATTATACTGTATTCCAATTTGCTGCAGCATTGCGTTTTCTTGCCACCCTTGGTCTCCTCTAGAATTTGTGATTATTTTTCCTCATTTTTGCAATTGCAATTTAATATGCACATTTTTTTTTTTCAAGGTACTTTTCCCATGGATTTTTTTCATTTGTTTTCTCGGAACCCTTAGTCTCCTCTTGGAAACTTAAAATTACAATAAAAATTACATACACACAGAATAAAAGCATCTTTTACGGCTAACTTACCCTGTTGTGACGCTTTAGCTCCGGACACTGCAGCGTTATATTACGCAATTTCCACTGAGCTGCAGCGCTTCATTTCTTGGAATACCCCAAATAAATCCACTTGCTAAAGTTAACTAAGCTTGCAACTGTGTCTTTACTCTAGACACTGCACTGCATAGTCGATACTTTCTTGCTGGTTGAATTAATCACCTCAATCCACAGTCTCCAGTTTGCTGCAGTGGCCATTGGTCTCTTGAAAGTGTGTCTCCTTCTGTCGCCAACACGCATGTGTTGTCAACAAATATGGGAGAATCATTTTGTCCTGTCAGGGATGTCTCATTTCGACTGATGCGCTCAAGTTGGCGTGCATTCTTCATTGTATGATTTTGAAACGGTAACCCAATTGACATGTTGTTTGTGACCGCGTCTGTTTTCGCATACATCCTTGTTCCTCCAATAATCCCCAGCAAATTTTTACACGGCAGGAACAAGCAGTAAGAACTGTTTCATCCTCTCTAGACTTTTAAGTTCCCATTTAAATAAAATTGACGCCAATTATCCAGTGACATTTGATATCCCGTTAACCTCAGACATGATTACACTGCACCTGCCCGTTTGTTTCCCAACCTTGATTAGTGTGACGCACAGTCAGGACACGCGTCACCATCTCCCCGGACCCAGCCTGCTCCTCTGACACTGGCTCGCTCACAGCATGGTTTGTTTTTGTTTTCCCCTCAGGAATTTCTACTACATCACCATGTTGCGCGACCCGGTCTCTCGCTACCTGAGCGAGTGGAAGCACGTCCAGCGCGGCGCCACCTGGAAGACGGCCCTGCACATGTGCGACGGACGTTCGCCCACCCAGGATGAGCTGCCCACCTGCTACAATGGCGAGGACTGGTCGGGCGTCTCCCTGGTAGACTTCATGCGCTGCCCCTCCAACCTCGCCAACAACCGGCAAGTGCGCATGCTGTCCGACCTGAGCCTGGTGGGCTGCTACAACCTGTCCTCCATGAACGAGACCCAGCGCGACCATATCCTGCTGAGCAGCGCCATGAACAACCTAAAGAACATGGCCTTCTACGGCTTGACCGAATTCCAGCGCAAAACTCAGTACCTGTTCGAGCGGACGTTCAGCCTGCGCTTCATCTCCCCCTTCACGCAGATCAACAGTACGCGCGCCGCCAACGTGGACCTGAGCGAGCCCGTGCGACGACGCATCGAGGAACTCAACTTCCTGGACGTGCAGCTGTACGACTACGCCAAGGACCTGTTCCTGCAGCGTTTCCAGTTCAGTCGGCAGAGGGAACGCCGGGAGGTGCGCTTGAAGAGGCGCGAGGAACGCCGTTGGATACACGAGCGGCAGCAAGCTAGGCCGTGGCTGCCCAGACGCAGGATGGAAGCTTCGAAAAGCCAGGAGAAAGAGGACAATGACTTTGCCGGCACCACTGAGGACTACACGAGCCAAGTGTCTCGCTGGTGATGTCATAAACTGAAAACAGCGTCACTCTACGCTACTCGCGATAACTTTTGATTTGGCTTGTGGGTGAAATTTCACAATGAACCAAAAATGCACTATATCCTCTACAGTTGACCCTTGTAGTAAGTCTTGGCCTTAATTGACATTAATATTTCTTAAATCAACCCTTCAAAAGTCTTCAAAATTTTTTCAGCACTTGACAAGTAGGATTCGATGAGTGTAAATTGTCTCAAATCTCTGTATCCTCACTTCACAAAAAAAAAAAAAAAATGTACCGAATGACTCTTGTGGTACAATCAAGCGACGTTCACCTCTAAAGGTTATAGTGCAATTTAAAGTTCATCCTGAAATTTGACCTCATATCCCAAACTACCTTATTTGTGATATTGCTTATATATTGCCATCATATCATCATTAATGTGTTCTTCAACTTTTTGGTGTGCACTCGTTTTTTTTCTTTATAACAAGTGTTCTCAACCTGGGGCCCGGTGCGAGGGCATCCGCAAAATAATTCCCCATAAATGAATACATAGTATCAGTTTCAAAAAGTACATATCTACTGTAAATATGGAAAACGGCGTGATAGTAAAACAAAGTAACGTACTAAACAAATTGCTCATCCCAACCTTTGCTTTAGGCCAGGTAAACGACCATGTTTGGTTGTGACATACCATCACAACTCTGACATCCCTAAGGGATTAAAGTCATGTTTTTTTTTTGTTTTTTGTTTTTTTGAATGAAGCAATGAAGTTTGTTTTTTCTAAAGAACAAAATTATTTATTTATTTATTTGGGGGGGGGGATACAGTCCCATTTTAAGAACAGCGTTTCCCAACCTTTATTGAGCCAAGGCAAACAAAACAAATATCCCTAAAAGTACATTTGTATACGGTATATCCTTAAGCTAATCTTGTTGGTGCAATTATTTTTTTGTATGAAAAGCAACAAATGAACCAACAGGTCCATTGTACCGTCTACCATCGAGTGAAAGAACTTTAACTGTTCTGCATGTCACTGTTTGTCGCTGGCGTGAATAGACGAACAAAGATACAGTCCATTATTTGCAGTAAATTAAAGGAAATTGGATATATTTCTACAGCATACTTTATAATCTCACAGGATACTATGATGCTGCAGTGGTTTGGGATCACTGTTTCAAAGAATAAAGGGGGAGGTGGGGGGTTCGAACGCTATTATCGCGATATCTAGATTGATATTGTATTTGAAGAGTGCAGCTTTTTTTCTTTTTTAAATGGGACATTATCCTCATAACATTACAACTTCTTGTTACCGTGACATTATGAGATTTATTTATTTTTTTTTGGTGAAATATAGAAAACTTTCTATGGCACACTGTTGTCTTGTTTAATTGGTATTAAGGATCATGATGGTATCCTTAGACACAGTAAATTTCCCCCATGTAAGGAGTCAAATTGTTTTCGAAGCCCCTGCTTTACAAGTGCGGACACTGCCTCCAGGTGCCCCTTTTGGTGTCTTAAAACTCTTCAAATGCTGTGTTTTTAATCATTTCATCGCTGCCTTGATTCTTTTCCAAATGCAGCTCTTGCCAGAAAAAAAAAAAAAACTCAGAAGCTGCTTTATTTAAAAAATGTTTTAAAAAAAAAAGGAAAAAAAACATGAATGTCATCAAAATCAAAGAAACATTTTTATAAAGTAGATGTAGACGGTTGCATGCCACATTCACACTTACAGTCTGTAAAGAATTCGCTTTTTTTTTTTGTAATTGTTATTATTTGACGTCAATGAAAAGCTTTTCCTTGAGGGCCACTTTTGGTGCATGAGGACTGATTATGTTTGAGTTGTAATGTTGTCTTTTGCTTTCACAAGTGCAATACCTTACTCAAGATAACCCTCAAAGTCGTTGGTATACAGTGGAACCTTTCAAGTCGAAAACATTCAATTCTGCTAGTTGCCATCAAAATTGTTCTCATTTCAAAACTAATTTTCTGAGTTTGCAGTATTAAAACTGCTTGTAAGATTCAAAGATACAAATAACTGACACCTTTTCAGCCACATCTTTTGTCTTTGTTTTGCAGAGGTGGCAAGTCCAGGTCCAGAAAGTAAAAAAAAAAACGAAGAGCTTTTTAACCTGCCGGTTGAATCGAACACATGTTACTGAAGGCAAACTGTGGCACGATTTTTACTGTCTGGGCCTGGATTTGCCACCTCTGTATTTTTGTTGTTTTTAAACTTATCAACAAAGTGTTTACCATTGCCATCTCCTTTAACCATTGGCCACCAAACTTTTTATAGGTTAATAAAGAAAAATATCCATCCATTTTCTAATCTGCTTATCCTCTCGAGGGTCGCTAGCATGCTGGAGCCTATCCCAGCTGTTTTCGGGCAGTAGGCCGGGTACACCCTAAACCGGTTGCCACATCGACAAATAACCATTCAGGCTCACAATCACACCTACAGACAATTGAGAGTGTTCCATTAACCTGCCAAGCATGATTTTGGAATGTGGGATAAAACTGGAGTAGAAGCAGAAAACCCACGCAGGCACAGGGAGAACATGCAAACTCCCCACAGGAAAGCCGGAGCCGGAATCAAACCCTGCACCTCTGCACCGTGAGGCGGACGTGCTAGTCGTCCACTGTGCCACCAAAGGAAAACATTGCCAACAGAAATCAAAGGTATGACCCAAAAAATAAAAAATAAAAATGTAGATCTTAGTTGTAAATTGTAAAGGCTTACCACAACACACAAATTAATAAGTTAAATAAAAAATCAATTGTGACACTAAAAATAAAAACGGATTTTGAGGAAAAACAGTGGTATGTGTTTTATTCATCCTGTGACCAAGTTTGGAACTTCATCTTCATCATCTGTTATTACTGAAAATAAATAGAAAGACCACTTCCCACCCCACTCCCCACCCCCCCAGCCCCCCCAAAAACAGATTTTTTTTTTTGGTAGTATCTTAATAATAGCACTCTTTAATCCTGTCCTTAATAAAAAGAAGAAACAGAAACAACGTAACATCATTGTAAAAAAATAAGAAACCGTTTTTGATGCTTTTCTTTAATTCAATGGACAGTGTAATGCTCCTTCTGGTGTGTGAACTTCAGCCACTTGAGGGCAGTCCAGTATAGCATGGCCATATTGATATACATGGAAACAGTGACTCCTCATTTGCAGAAGATAATGAATACATACCTTTAAGTACTAATATTATCTGTCTCCGTGTGTTGCTCCATCGTTTGTGTTCAAGTTTCTTTTGCTTGAAGACACCGATGCTATTCATTGGCCGGTAGATGCCGTTTTGCATTGTTCGTTAGCATGAAGATACAATTACGTTACTAAGGCCAAGCTATGTGGTTATTTTGAAAACACAATGTGCAATTCTGTTAGTTTCATATTTAGTTTGATAGTAAACGTCAACTGCGAGTGGCAATAAACAGTTTGAAGGCTCTTTTTTGAAGAGCTGTTCTCTAGTTACCAAACTGCTGCTTGTTGTGAAGGAAGTTCAGCCATATTGTACTGAGCAGCCAGGATGGACAAGTCGCAATAAGCTCCACTTCCTGCAGAATGGTCATGTCATGACATGTCATCACACTCTTTCATCTTTGCCAACAGTGGTAACCTTCCGTATAGAAACAAAAAAAAAAGCCAAAGATTGACTAACCACACTTATGGAGACTCTTGAACAAAGCCAATTTTTCCAGAGTCAAATTCGAACACGTTTCACTTTGGAGGTTCCACTGTATTTAAGATGAGACAAGCTTAAAAATGTATGCTTAATGATCCTGCACCACAGGGAAAGTATACAAATGTATAGGCAAGTGTATGTTATGCAGTTATTGTTTTCTGAAGCGACGTCAACACACATGAAGATGAAAGGGCAGTTTTTGTTTCATATTTTTGTCTGTGTTGATGCTTCTTATCTTGTACCCCCTAAAAGTCCCCGTCAACACACACACACACACACACACACACACACACACGCTCTCACATTTCTTAATTATCAGCATAACAGCATTGTATCTCTTTTGATTGCAGTTCTAAAAAAAAATACCTCAATGCCTTGTTTTCCCCATCCTTAAGATGATTTTCATTCATCTATTTGCAACAGTGGATGTTTGAAGAACATCGATGATTTGAGTTTGTCGGATCATGTTTGTTCGTGTTTTTAGATTCAGTGTTAGTGACGTCAGCCCGGTTCAGAACAGTCTCCTTCTGACGGCAACCTTCCACGTTTCAGTTGAAAATGTCATCATAATAAATCACATTCATGAATATTTCCTTTCCTAGGTGACAACCTTCCACGTTTCAGTTGAAAATGTCATCATAACAAATCACATTCATGAATATTTCCTTTCCTAGGTGGTGTTGGTGTTGGTTTTGCGGTTGAGAATAAAGCTTTCGCTGCTGTGTGACAAGCAGCGGGAGTGAGAGGACGACAGATGGGAGCGCAGTATGTGCTGCAGTCAGTTCACTGGACCACTTACCGTACACTACATGGACTGCTTATGTAAGGAAACCCTAATGAGATTCTAAGACTGATGTTATTATTTTGGATGGGGTTGGAGTGAGGCAATAATGGTGTTTTGATGGTTGGTTATTAGATTATGTCAAAGCCAATAAGTGTGTGTGAGACACATGTCAATTACATGAAAAAAGTCTGCACACCCCCATTCAAATGCCAGTTTTTTTTTTTGTGTGTGTGTGTGTGTGTGTGTAAAATACAGGCTAACATGCATCAATTCAAAATCTTTTGCACCATTAATTTGATCTCTAACATGTACAAGTCAATTAAAAAAAAAGATATTTTAAGAAGGAAACTAAACTGAGAAAGGTGGTTGCACAAGTGTGCACACCATCTTATAAACGGGAATGTTGCTTTCTTCAGAATCAATTACATTCAATTTTGCCCAATTTAAAGTGAAATGAATTTGAGAATTTTCTAGTACGCTTTTCCTGGCAATGTTTTGCTTTCTTGCACCAGCCGAAAGGTTTTGTCCCTTCACCTTGTCTTAAGGCCCCACTTCCAGGTGGAAGACAAACAGCCCCAATGCATTATGTCGCAACCACCATGCTGCATTGAAGGCATGGTGCTTATGTCAAACATAATTTTGGAATTACGGTCAAAACGTTGCAGCATCACACAAGGGGGGGACCATCTTTTTTGTTACCTTCTGGTTTCATTTTTTTTTCCCAATTTTGTTGTACAGGTTTTAGATCACATTAATGGTGGTGTATGTACGTATGAATGTATGTATGTACACAATTTGTGTATGGCCTTTGAAATTTATATTATTTGAAAAGTGGCGAAGGAACGGCTCGGTTGCCTGATGGGAAATGTATCACCAACAAATCGTCGGGTTGGGAGGCAAAAAAAGAGAGTGTGTTCTCTGGTGTAACAAGTTCTGTACATGTTGAAATGTCTCGTGATCAAATGAATTGCCTTTTTTGGGCGTGTGACATTTAATCTGCCATTTTTCTTGTCAGAGCTGGAAAAATTTAAAACTAGAAATAAATACATTGAATGACCATGATGCTGCGCTGTTTGTTTCCGATCCACTTGAGTTTGCCTTTATACACCACCATAAAATTTTTGTTACAAGCAAGTAGAGTGCCTCCATTCTTGGTGCCTTAAAGTATTATTTTCACTAAACCATAATCCCCAAAATGCAGATTGCCCAATCACAGCACTGAACAGAGGCTTGACATTTTCATGTGACATTTTACCTGTTTTCCAAAAAAATTAAAGGATTTTTTTTTTTTCTTCGCATCTCCAAAATTGATCATTGATCCAGACAGTTGAAAAAGCTTATGCGGTTGTTCTAAAGAAATCAACAGACACAACTTGGTCTGTTGTACTGCAAACAAATGTACTTTTTTTAAATCAATCAAAGAAGACAATGTTCCTGTTAGCTCATTAGCCAAAATGAAATGCTAATGTTATGCTACTAACTAGTAATAATTCTTAGCGTTAACTATGTTAACACGGCTAGCTTTAGGGAATCTCCTTACTTTAAATTCATTCATAAAGTGACAGTTTACATGCCTCAGTGGGTGTGACTGATTTGGTCGGTAAGTGAATTCAAATGGCCTCAGCAGCTTGACCAAAGTTGTTATGTTCATTTAACAAGTTGGGTCAAAACCGAATAACCCAATGTGTTATATTCATTTAACCCTCAAAGTTGTTTCAAAACTCAATAACCCAATTTTTTGGGCTCAACTTGACCCTAGTGTGGGTCAGTCCTTTTTTTAACACAGTAATTGGGTCAAATTTAACCCCAAATTACTTATTTTTGACCCAACTGTTTTTAGTGTAGCAGCCATAGTTAGCCACCATCATGTGATGCAGGATGTGGTATGCTTTAGATCATGAGCTTTTTTTTCCCATGCCTTCCTATCAAGAGATCACTGAGGTGGAGCATTTTATGTGGGCTTTATTTGAACATATTTTTCATGCCGTTACCAGTGAAAGCCTTGTGCCTCCCCTCAGGTTGCGCCGCACGGATGGATAGCGTTTCTTTCAGCCGGCTGTGGCACAGATGGTATGATTGTATTCTCTCCAATGCTTTGACCGTAGGAAGCGTTTAATGACTTGGAGAAAAAGTAAAAAATAATAATAACACATGGACGGTTTTTCCCCAAGACTTTTTTTTTTTTTTTTTTACTCTGAGCTTTTATAGTCAGCAGAAAAAGCCCGTGCCTGGTTCCATATGGTGCTCATTCTGCAAGGAACATTGATTTGTTCATCTTACAACAAAGGAGAAAAATGATTTATGAAATAAACATGAGGGTGAATGAATCAGCAGTCTCTTTCACAAAATCAAATGGACTACGCCCACTTTTGTTGGCACTTGCATAAGAAGAAATAATATTGCTTATTTTTTACACAAAACAATAGAAGTACTGGTAATTAAATAACAAATGGTTAAAAAGGAAAATAGTGTTGTGGTTAAAAACAGCTGTAGAATGTGCTGAGGAATGGATCAAATTTTGTTATTATTTATGTGTTCTTAAATATTTTTAAAAATCAATAAAGCAAAACATTCATTTTTAGTATTTGCAACTATCCTAATTATATTGCAGGTCAAAATGGCATGCTTTCTACGTCTTTTTGTTTTTATGATAAAATATTTTTTAAATAAAAAGTAATGGGCAAAAACTCCTGTTGGCATTTTGTTCTTTTGTTCTTGTCATTGTATATTTTGGGGAAATTCTCATTGGTTAAGAATCTTTTTTTAATAGGTAAACATGTCAAAATTCGGAAACAAAGATAACGGAAGGGTTACAATGATATTCTTCTTTTACAATAATGCATAAATGCAAACTGACGATCTTGCATCAGTAATTTCTCTCGAATAAGTGCCCAGACACAATACAAAATTAACACTATACTGACATTTAGTGGTCATTCCTGAGACTTGCAGCCTTTCTCCCCCATGACAAAATTATTTTAGTTCTGTATTAAATGCTAGTAAAAGACAAACAATTGAAGCAAGACCAGTGAAGTTTAAAAAAATAAAATAAATAAACTATGACAATGAGGAATATTTTTTAACCCCTGGCTATGGCGGCCTTCCTGTGTGACGTTTTCATGTTTTCCCCATGCTTGCATAAGCTACTCAGCCTTCTCCCACATTCCAAAAACATGCATGTAAAGTTCAGTGAAGATTCTAAATTGGCCATAGATGTGATGAATGTGATTTTGAATGCTTCTTTGCCTGTATGTGCCCTCCAAGTGATTGGCGACCAGTCCCGGGTGTAACGCTAACCTACTGTAGGCATCAGCTCACTCATTAGTTTAATGAGGACAAGCGTTACAGAAAATGGATTTGAATTACATTTTGCTAAATAATCCTGCCTTACAGTGGGCCACGTGGTGTGAATGTAGAGTCCACACTGGACGCGGTGTCGCAGGAGGCTTATCCTTGTCACAGCTGTCAGAAAGTGTCTTTTCAGGAAAATGGATGACAGTGACACACGTCAGGTTAGGTCAGCGTTTCAAGTTAAGCAAGTCAGCATGAATCATGAATCTTGATGGAGAAAGCTATTTGACGACTTGTACACAAATAGTTGGGTCTCTCGAGTGCCTGCCCTCCGATTAAGTGTGAAATTAAAACAACCACACAAATGTTTTGTTTATGGCTGTCACTATTCAATGTTTTTAGAATGGATTATTCCATCAACTGTCTCAATGATTAATCAAATAATCGGATAAAATGTTATTTTGCATTAAATGTGTGTTTAAAAAACATTTTTCTCAATTAATGTTGTTTATTTAGTATTGTTCAGCGATTAAAAATAACGAGTAAAAGCAGTGTCACAAAAGGGAGAACCAATCTTGTACTCACCAACAATTTTGAAACTAATCTAGTTACTGGCTTTCCTGTGTGGAGTTTGCATGTTCTCACCGGGCCTGTGTGGGTTTTCTCCGGGTACTCTGGTTTACTCCCACATTCCAAAAACATGCATGTCAGGTTCAAGAATAAAGGTCACAAGTTACAACAAGATGAGTCTAGGTCGCGTTCCCTTATCTAATTATCTGGGCCAAAGAGGCCTCAATCTAACAGTGCCATGACCGGAATGTAGGGCAAATGACTGACACCTCGTCAGTCATGCCCTATGTCTCTGAATGGATTTTTTGTGTGTGTGGTACTGTGGCTTCTTAAGAAAAATAACTGAAAACTCCAAGTGGCTTTGCACAAGTTGTCGCAACAGGACAGCATCCCATCACCGAGGGCCCTGAGTTGGAAGACGTCTGACAACCCGAATCAATGACTAAACAAGCAATGCTGAATTCCCCCGCATGGGACCTTTACTGTGCATTTTACTACCTGTTGCTGTCTGATGCCAAGTAGGGGCTCTGATCAACATCAATGACACAACTGGAAGACCTTCGCCCTAATTACCCTAGCCACCACAAGGATACATTAGGTTTAGGAAATCGACTGGGGTCCTCCTCTAATAGCAGGCTTGTTTTTTGTTGTTTTTGTTTTGAGGGTGGCCTCCATGGTCCATCTTGCGTGGGTCTCCGAGGGAGCCCAGATTTGCCCCTACAACATGGTAGCATTGGGGATGTATTTGTGTTTGAGGATGTGTCCATCAACACGGTCCACCCCTGGCCCCCCACCCTGCAAACACACACATATATTCTGGGCCCACTGAGATGAAGCCTATGTCTTGCAAAGCTTAAGCTCCATCCACGGTCATCATGTTAACGATAGCCGGACCAGCCATTGGCCCAGCACAATATGGGGCGGGATGAGGGCTGGCTGATTTGCATGACAGCGAAAACTGAGCTGCTTTTCATAGGGCCAGAAATATAGGGTATGTGAAGTTTTATGTAATTCTTGACCTTTGGGGTATTTTAACGAAAGTATGCGACAGATGTTATTAAGACACCTGGGTACTGTTTTAAATTGTGTGAAAAATTGTGCACTACATACTTTAATTTCTCATGTAACTGTCATATTCCAACAGTAAATCACATATCACGTTTACAAATAATTTAACTGTGGGTAATAAAACAACATAAGGAAAAACACAATGTATTGTTTTGGTTTCTCTTTTGGTCATATGACTCATTCACTCGGGGACTTTTTCCTCACAGAGAGCAATGTGCTGACCTCGGCATGTGACACTGAATGCATGCTGCATTTCCTGTTTGCTGACAGATCACATATGTATCTATAAAAAATACACAAAGACGAGGATGTTATATTATAGAGATATGTGTATTATTTTATTTTATGTACACATTGTTTATTCATTCATGCATTTTAATTCCCTTAACAATATTTCATATATTTATTTTGTAGAAAAAAAATCTAGAATGAAGAGGAAAGTATGTAAGGTTGTTACTGATAGTACAGTACTACTGTAGTTTGTTATTAGTTGTAACTAAGGTGGTATAATGTTTATTTGAGTTACAGTAATCTATTGTTATTCTTAGTTATTACAATGTTTTTTAATAATACTTACTCACGTGTAATGATTATTTGGTTAGTTTTTATGACATTTACTATTATTTTCTTTACCTTTCCTTAAAAACAAACTTGAGACTGCAGACAGGCCATCAACAAAACCAACAAAATGATAAAGCAACACACTGAATGATAATGGCACATATTCTACTCTACCTAGCCTTGCAGAAAGATTTTAAAAAACTCCTTAATGTCACATTTTAATTTGTACTCATACTCATACCCTGTTGTTAAGCATTTCATCAAAATCCTTCCTCCCCGTAGTGTTAGCATCTGTCTCGTTTGACCTTGACTCGTTAAACTAAAACACTGTGAACATTGTCCTCACACATTACGCGCTCATCATATCTGCAATTCATAAATCTATTGACGGAGTGCAAGTTTGTGTAAAATAAAGCTTTTAATGTTAACTGCATAATGATGCGTTCTGTTAGTACGTGTGCACTCGAGCAAGATTCTGAAATGTAAACTAACTATGAAAATAAAAGATACATGATTTAAATGCTAATAATAATAAAAAATAAAACAAACCTCACACGGATTTATTGCTGTTCCCTTGGTAACAAGGAAACCCTTTGCCCTTCTAGCCTCCTGGCTTTCGTTTGGAGCGAACCACTCTGTATTTCTAGAGGGGTGGCAAAACTTAAACATTTTGGAATGCGTACATCTTTTTCATAAAATTTGCTTAATATAGTAGACATTTAAATTAAAATTTAAATTGATCTGATATGGTTTGCAGGACACCATCTAAAGTGAATTATTAACGTTTTTTATGTTTCACGGCTCGTCAACAGACCCCTTCGTGACATCACATCGACGACTGTACAGTAAGCTGTCAAGAGCTTGTTGCTCAAAGCTGTGTCATGTCACAAAGTAATGGCCGTTGGAAAATGACGTCCCCTTAGTTGTACGAGACACTTTAGCTCCCGTTTCGCTCAACATCAACTGGTTGTCGAGCGTTAGTTTCGGCCTCACGATTGGGTTTTATGTGCGGTGTCCGAGTTGTGGCGCGGTGTAATCGGCGCCGTATGTCCCCCCTCCCTTCCTCCTCCTCCAACCAACACCGCGGGCAGCGGTTCTTCCGCGGCGATGAGGTAAGCAACTTCTCGCCCCTGGCTAACCGGAGTTAGCATCAAGCTAAATGCTAATACGTCGTCATTAAGAACGTGGGGGCCCAGTCCCTGCGGTGCTAATGCTAAATGGTACGTCAGAATCAGAATCTTTATCGTGACTTGAAAAAAATACGCCCAATGTTATAGTGAGGAAGTAAAAAAAATAAAAATAATAATAAGCCAATGACGCTGTTCAAGTTCCCCTTTGACGTCGGAACAGTGACGTTGCATCGTCTTAGTTGCATGTCGTCGTGTCTAAAATGGAAATAATTATATTGATGCACCCTGAACGTGTGTTTTGAACGCAATGTTATCTGGTCTAAAGCAGGGAGTTGTTTTCACAAAGGTTAAATTTTGTCCAGATTGAGAGCTGCACATTAACCGCATAGGCAAAGCAAATATGTACGGTTATCCATCAAAGGAGACATCACATGTTTTCATATTAAGTGGAAACAAATTCTTGATGTGTCTTGTGAGGACGCAAACTCTTTGTGTTGTGCCAATAATTACGTTTATCACAAATGCTCTTTACTAAAATATTTACCATGGTTTTCTCCTTAAATTTAATAAAGTTTACATTATTTTCAGTGGCATGACATTCCATCATCAGTGGTAAAGGAAAGTTTTTATTCCAAGAGGCAGCAGTGTTTTGCAGGCAGCTTTCACCCTCTGTATGTATCCTTTTCTTGTTTCCAATTGGTCCATTCCAGACTGGGAGGGTCTTCCCGGCAGGAAAGGGGGAGGCTGGGAATGTTGGACTCAGTCGCTCCAGTTTCCCAGTTGTCGAAAAGGAAATGTTTTGCTCACAGAGTTTTTTTCTTTCATGCGTGTTGATTATCTATTTAAATCTGTGCCTCTGAAGTTGTGTATGACCGCGCTGCATACAAGCAAGGACAGTTGGGTAGGTAAAGTCACTTGTTCTGACTCATTTCCTGACTTGTTCCTCAAAGGAATGTTGTTGTGTGCACCGGGATTTCACGATGGCTTGCGACAGTAAGCTCCGGGTCAACCAATGCGAACGAAAACCTGCGTGTTTGTCAAGCCAACTTCTCAGCATGCACTATATGTGCTAGCTGATCCATTTTTCTCCCCTAGCCTTAACTTCCTGTGTGTCACATGGCTAAGTGTACAATACAGGAGTGTGTATCCTGTTTTGTGTTTGATTAACACTGCGTGTGTGTTTAAACATCGTATTACCATGTTTGTGTTCTTTAGAAATGGAAGTCAACCTTAACTAAACAATGCAAAAACGGTGAAAGATGTTCAGTGTCACAATGAACATGGCGCATTTGGAACGTAACTTCACAGCAAACTTGTTCTCTGGAGGCTAGATTTACACTGCACAAGTGCTGAATTCTGATAGATTGCCCAGATTAAAAAAAAAAAAACGGACTGTTTCCAAGAACATTTTTAGTGACACATGTGAAAACATGAAACAGTCACAACATGGAAGAAAACAGTAATACATAACACAGATATTAAACTTTATTTTGGCGTAAAGTTGGTCCTTTGTGTGACTGTGAAATTTTTGTAAGCATCTTTGGCAGTTAGTGTGGGTTCTCACCCAAGTAGCCGTAAAGGTCCCATACACCTGACGTAAATAAGCTTGGATGGTCTTCAATTTCAGGGTCATTTGTAGTGAAGCCAGTCTTCTTTCTCAGTTTCTCGCCTCCACTCCACTGTGTGTAGTTGAACAGAATAAGCATGAGTGATGCTAGTTTTTCCTACTCATTTGACCGTCACCAGAAAAATAGTCATATAATACGCAGTTGTACCTCGGCACAAACTTTGGGGGCCCTATTTTCGTGCCCAGCGCAAACCCAGTGGAAAGCGTGGTCTGACTGTGTGCATGGATGCAGTTGTTTTTCTTGTGGTGTTTTCGTAGACACGTGGAGACAGATGTTTGCGCCGTCGTGGTTAGTTCCTTGCACTCCCTTTAAATTCAGCGCAGGAGAGGTCTGCGGATTTCATAGCGGAAGCATAAACAGACTCGTTAGAGTCCATAAAGGAGTGTGACACACACAACATCAATTTATAAGGAACTGTAAAAAGATCTCCATGATATTAAATTGGACCTTGAAGTCTGTCTTCAACTCCGATCATTCGTGTGTGATACCCCATTCCACCCTTGGTAGCTATGCGGCGGCCAGGGGTGTGATTATAATAAACATGATAATAATAATGTGATCAATGACCTTATTTATTCAATTATTTTAGATGGTTTTATTCATGTTGTTGTCATATCTATGAATGAAATATGATGACATCACCACATACTTTCTTCGAGTGCAGAATCTGTCTCCTATCAAATTCACAAAAATCTCCTTACACTACATGCGCCACAACTTAGACCTGCTTCCAGTAGGCGTAATATTTAGTCTACTTTCAGCCACCAACTTAGAAACTTGGCTTGTAGCAGACGTGTGCACATTTTCAGCATGACGTCTCTGATCCGCTGGTGAAAGGACACTTTGATCCTCTCCTCTTTCATCTATAACTGCTTCAAACAACAAAGTATGCAGGAAAAGTGATTAAGATTGCCGACTGTCTGTGTATTATGTGTTGTGTTATTTTGCCTTCAAGATGGCGCCGCGAGAGTGGCTGCCTTTCAAGCAGCTCCTATATATTGTTCTTGTACTTCTTTTCATAACTTTGCTGCTGTGAATTGGGAATTTCTCCATTGCGAGACTGATAAATGATTTCTTATCTCATCAAATTGTCAGGTGCACTTGGGGCGGGGGGCGGGGACAATGCCCTTGATCCACCGGAACGCCCAATATGGTGCAAGCGTGGTCTACCAAATTCACTGTACATACTCAAGATAACTCGTACCTCCATGAACATCAAGATGCAACAGTTCTAATGCCTGAGCTCACATGCTCTGCCTATGAAAATAGCCCTTGGAATTAGATAGGGCGTGTTGCGGTTCTGCCGTTTAAAAGGCGACATGTGCTTATGTCTTAGAGGATTGCAGATTTTGCCTTCCATTATATATTGTTACACGCTTAATACGGTCTCTTTGTTCTATTGTTACACTGCCATGACTCTGTTGGCCAACTCGAAAGTGAACAATCGGAACTGTGTCACTTAAACCATGTAGTGTACATCCAGACTAAGACCGTTATTAGGACGTTATCACCTGTGTGCAGACATGGGCAAAATGTCAAAGTTTCTCTTTGGAACTTTAAACTTCAGCTTTACATATGCTACATCTGCCCAACAGGTGGTGTGTGTTGCGCTAAAACCTAAAACTGAAATGCATGGTGGTATCAGGCATGTTAAAGGTAAACACAAGAATCCACTGGCACCACCTATATTTCAGGAGGCAATTATTTGAGGTGTGGCATTTGTTTGTTAGAATGGAGTTATTTGAAGTTGGTCTATTTAAGGAAATATGGTCTGTATTTAGATGTGTTGTGAAAGAATTTTGATGAAAATTAAAGCCTGTCTTTGATAAGACACCAAGAGGAATTGATTACTGCTTGATTATGATCTGGAGGTGAAACAGGATATATTTTTTGTGGAAAAAAAGTTGTGAAGTGACTGATTAAATTTTGGTCTTTGGTAACAAATTGACTAACTTTTGATCATGAATCATGATCCCGTTCTTTATCTGGGTCATGCTCTGTCCATGGCCATATCTCAAAAAGTGTGTCCATGACGACAGCTGCTGCTGCTGCAACAACCCTGAAATCATATTCATGACTGCATTACAAAGAAACTTGGCTTATTACACAATACTTGGTTAGTTCAGTCAGTCAGTCAGAACACGAAACAGCATGAACTGCAGACACAGTCAGACTGCAACAGGGATCACCAGACGTCATATTAACTCGCGGCACACAAAATTACTTCTATACATTATGTTCTGCACTGACATTTACTATACATACATGAACTGTCAAAAACAATCGACTATGAACATAGCAGACTTGCCTTTACTATAACATGCATGAATTTGAATAGTCCTTCCACTATTTTATAATCTGTCATGCACCAGTAGTGCTCCTGGAGGAATCTCATTTCACTTTGTGTTAAAGGTGCACGCACAGTACTGTATAATATATATGATGCACAGGTGACCCACAAGTTTTTTTGGGCTGTGACGATTAGCATTTTGTAATCTCTGACAGTAAACTACACATATGTGTACAGTATGTATCAATAGAGATGGCTGAGAAGCAACAGTAGAACAGAGTTGTAGTTGAGCCAAAGGGTGTGATTATAGTGTAAAATAAAGTTGTTCTGCACAGCCGTATGATTTCTTAAAGAACTGTGGTTTGAGTAATGTGTATTAAGGATTTGTCATTTGTTACTACAAGACGAATGAAGAACTCCATCTTAATTTTAAAATGTCACTCGAATACAATTTGGAAATCTCAGCCATTTTATCCATCTCACCTCAATATTGCAGCGGTTTAAGGTCGTTCCCTTATTACTTCTGAAGTAAATTTCTCAGCGGGCATGTGTGGTTTTGCCATAGTTAGACCAAAAAACAAGTAATATTTCTGTTTTTATGTCTTTCAGCTCGCCAGTATAAGTGCCTCGAAGAATTCCTCAGCTTGAACTTTGAGGAAAGCTTGTTTTTCCTTTGGGTCCAGAAACAGCATCTGGGGGCTCCTACTTTGCACATCATCCAAATAGGATCATGGTCTAAAGAAGAAACTGGTCTTGCATAGTTTCCAAAAAAAAGCCAATGAGTGGTGGTGTTCAACGGACGTGTGATCTCCCAAGCTCAACGACCCTCCTTCTAGCTCTAGCTCATGGAGGACTTATCCTCTTGTTTTAGGAGACGACTGTGATCGGCCTTCCGCTTTCAGCACCGTGATTGTCTTATAATAAGAACTGTTTATGATCAAAAACCTTTGGACATGGCGTCGGGGAGAGACACAAAATGGCTGACCCTGGAAGTGTGTCGACAGTTTCAGCGAGGAAACTGTTCACGCAGTGACGAGGAATGCAAATTTGCTCATCCGCCAAAGAGCTGCCAAGTGGAAAATGGGAGGGTCATCGCCTGCTTTGACTCGCTAAAAGTAAGAAAGATCACATTGTTCAGTTTTCAGTGCTGCTGCTGCTGCTAGAAAGTAGAGGTTTTGGTGGCTATTAACTATCAGCTGTTTTGTCCGCTAATGGCTTCTGCCTCGCCATGTGATCTCAAAACAAGGGTCCCATGACTTTCATTTGAAGCAAACATCCTGAACTGATCTCTTTTTAGATGTTAGCCAGCAGCACTACACCCCAGGTTAAGCGTGTCAAGACACTTGAAGTGTCATGTATTTGTCTCATGGCTAATACAGATGCCCATGCAAAGCATTGAACGTGACTAAGCATTATTTACCTTTCTGTAGACATTTGGCATTGAAGTAGTAGATAACCACACAATTCAACAATCGCAGTATGTACTGGAATGCTCATTTTTGAACAAAAAGACTGGATTCTCTCATGTACTGGCCATAGGGAAACAACCAGGCACCAATTAGGGGTACGACAAGGCTCAAAATAAGCGGTTTTGCATCGCATTTTGCGAGTCAAAATTCACATATTACACGCGGTAACTAGCTTCCACGTCATCGCAACGAATACACTGATGACACCACTGCGGCTGCGTAGGAGTGTGTTGACAATCACTGATGGTCAATTCCGAGGGTGGAATCTTGCCGAGAAACCTGCGTTCAGAGGGGAAAATTAAAATTAAAAGCAGATTATTGTACATTCTTTGCCATTCTCTGAATGCAGGGCAGATGCTCTAGAGAGAACTGCAAGTACCTCCATCCGCCCTCACACTTAAAAACTCAGCTGGAAATAAACGGCCGCAACAATCTCATCCAGCAGAAGACAGCAGCTGCAGTGCTCGCACAGCAGATGCAGATCATGATCCCTACAGCCAGTCTGCAGTCTGTGGTGAGTCCCCCACACTGAACAAGAGCAATGCCACGTTTCAACCGAATCTTGGTCCTATTACCTCACAGCCTTCATTTCCTGCGACACAGGGTCTTGGCACTAACTCTGGTCTCGGCTACGGTTCCTACTTGACGCCCCTAAGCCACGGGATCGGCCTTCTTCCCACAGACATCCTCCCCAGCAGTCAGGTTCTTGTTTCAGGGAGCCCGCCTGTCACGGTCCAGAGCTCGCCTTCTTCCTCCTCTTCTTCACCCTCCCAGAAGCTCCAGCGCACTGACAAACTGGAGGTACAGTCTAGCCAGTCCAATCTAACACGCTGCTTGACATCTGATTGGTTGTTCGTTTTATGCCTATGTTGGGTCTAAATGAGTATGTGACAGTGGAACCTTATTTAAGCTTGTCATATATGCATGCGGTTTGTCGTTTGCTATGCAATAGCTGATCGAAATACAGAAGGTGTCAAAATGACCCAATCAGATAGAGGTGGCATTGTGACATAGATATATTTCTACACACCCAAGCAACTCAGGAAAAATGGCTAACGCACTACTATACGCCTGTATCGTCCACATTTCCCAAAGAAAAGAGACATTCCAATTCTGATCGATTGTCGCTACGTGACTCTGATTGCAGGTATGTCGTGAGTTCCAGAGAGGCACATGTGCTCGAGGAGAGACCGACTGCCGGTTCGCCCACCCCAGCGACAGCCCGATGATTGACACCGTCGACAACACCGTCACCGTTTGCATGGACTACATCAAGAGCCGCTGCAGCCGCGACAAGTGCAAGTATTTTCACCCACCTGCGCACTTGCAGGCCAAAATTAAATCCGGTCAACATCAGACAGCCATGGCGGCCCAGGCCACAGCTGCAGCCGTGGTAAGACACCCATGTCCGTCCCTCAACAACAATGAGCTCATTTGAATTCATGTTTATGTCTATATACTGTACTTTGAACTCTATAACATGTTAAGTATCAGTTGTATTTAGCTATAAAATGAATTCAGAATGTAAATCATAGAGTTTAACCAAAATGTGGTATTTATGTGTGCTATACATGTTCTCCATAGACCATCTGTGTTGTTTAAAATGTAAACCATCGTATTTGTTTCTCCTTTTCACTTATGTTCTACTTTACTGCATGGCTCTCAATATTTACAGTCGGGGTAATTTTAGCTTCCTATCATACTGTGTACCAAACAAATATGAGATAGCTGCTGTTGCACTAAAACTCCTAACGTGCCTCTCATTTTGGTCGTCTGATAACACGGCTACATAGAGTCTATGTTATGTCATGATGTTTTAATACAGTCTTTTTTGCGAAACTTGGCTTTTATTTTCAATGACATGGTGTATTGTATTGTAAGGAGAGGCATGTAACTAAATTCGGCCACAGGGGAAAGTAACAATTGAATGGAATTTATTTATTTATAATTGTTTCAAGAATATGTGAGGCCTGACTTTGTTTGAAACAGAATCGTATCAATAGGTATCGACAGATTACTGGTTCTTATTCAGAAATAGAAACATGTCAACATGAGCTTAGTCCAGAGATCAAGATGATGACATGCTAATGACACTAGCCGGCACGCTAACTTCACTAGCTGGGTATACTAGCTATTCCTTTTTTTCCCCATTCATTGTGATGGATTGCAATCGAGGGAAGGGAACATTTTATCTCCTCGCTCACTGAATGTTTGGAACTTCTGTTTCTGTGCGAGTGTCAGTTGTCCCTGTTATTCTTCAGGCCACAGACTAGTTAAGACTGAATCAACAGTGCCCTGCTAGTTTCAGCCAGTCATGCACTCCATTTTGCCTCAGTTGCTTTTAGACAAAATGAATAGACACTTGATTTTGTACAATTACCAATCGATTAATCGACTAATCAGTTATTATGCCCGTCCCTAATGCATTGCTCCCATAAACACATGCTGGTTTACTCCATGCTGCCATATTTTTAACAGCTCCCATTATTAGTGTTTAACAAAGACTGCAACAGTATCTATTCTGAAATGAGGGATCTTGAAGAATTGTAAATCCACTGAATACTAAACGGCACACGCCGACCGTCAGGTGTTTATCTTTAGACAGTGAATGGTTACTGTGCATGCAAACTGTGTTTTATGTGGTATACTACATTCAGCTTATTTTTGTTTTCCCCCCTTCTCATCTATGCACAACGCTGTCCCCCATGATGCACCTCTGCTTGCTGTATGTTAATACGCTTGACCCCCCATTGGCCCACTGCCATCATGTGCTCGCTGTCCGCTCTTAAAAGACTCAGTCGACTGCCAAAGCAATGAAGCGACCCCTCGAGGCAACTGTAGACCTGGTATTTTCACCTTTTGCTTTGCATGTAGCCAGTAAATGATACTGTGATAACATGTCGTTTCGTCACTGTGAGCTTTCTGTAATCTCATTTGTGTCAATCTCAATAGATTTAATGTGATACATTATTTCCATTTGTATTTGTATCCTGAAACCATCAGTGCATGCTGTGTAATTAACAGTTACATTTCTTGTTATGTTGTAGTTATGTTTTACTTATTTATTTTTATTTTTATTGAGTACCAAATCATGGATATGTGCTTAAATGAGTGGTGGTGTGTGCTTTTCAGGGCTTCCCGCACAGCATCCTGCAACCGCTACCAAAGAGGGCAGCCCTGGAGAAGAGCAACTGGGCCAGCTCGCTGCTCAGCCCCAGTTTGTTGCACTACCAGCAGGCTCTGGCCAGCACACAGCTGCAGCATCCCACAGCCGCATTCTACCCTGCAGGTACGCATTAAGTCACTCACCAGGGTTTTCCCTAAAGAAATGTGCAAGCAGGCCATTACTTAGCTTTGGAAATTTAACTATACCTGAGTATACGTTAAAGTTCATAGTCATTTGGCGCACTAAGGAGCTCCAATTAAGAGATCAACTGTGCCTTTACAAAAGATTATGATAAGGAGAAATTCTGGTGTACATGGTTATGTTTGACCAAAGTATTTACGATGTCAACAGTTTATGAGGAGGACCCACGTACAGGTATGAGAGATCAACAGCAGGTTATGATGCAGAGATATTTATTGTCACATGTGGATATTGTTGTGGCTGGAGGGAAAGGCTCCTGTTCAGAGAGGGTCGGAGGAATCCAGGTGCTGGGTCCAGGCAGGCAGGAAACAGGATCTGAAGCAGGAGAGCCAGGGAAGAGCACAAGTCAGGCAGGCAGGATGGGAACAGAGTGCAGAACAGGGCAGTGTAAGTATGGCAGAAAGTAGATGTGAATTTTCTAAATGGCCAGATGCAGCAAACTTCATGAAGAGTACTGACATTCTGCTGTTGTGGTGGAGTCCAAGACAAGCTTAAGAACAGGCTGCGATTAAATGGGTGGATGAGATGCATTGGGGTGGGCTCCAATATGTCTGGGTCCAAACCCGCAGTTAAAAAAAAAAAACCCCAAAAAAAAACCCCTCAAAGAGCTGATTTCGACATGCTGAGAGGCCTTTCACTTATGTAACCTCACTTAAAGCTGGACGCTTAATTTCACAGAGGTGAAACGAAATGACTTCGTTCCTCGCTAATGAACACAATCAGCCAAGACTGCTTTTCAACCATTGTGACATTGCAGTCATCTAACACACACGCTGCCATTCAGCAAGCAGGAGCAACCTAGATAAAGGCTGCTACCTAGCAACATTGCAGTTGACATGACAACCGCTGACTTGACCACCCTACTGTAATTTCTTATGTTTTCTTTTCATAAGCAACTCTCAGCTCGTAACAGTTGACAAGAGAAACAAGCAGATAGTTTATTAAAATTCCATCTCTTTCCATTGTATGTACACAGGGTCTGTTTTGTGTATGACTCCTGCGAACAGCATAGGTAAGTACCCCAGGCGAAGTTCACTCAAATGCGAAAACAAAAAATCACATTGACGATACACGATTTTATTTCAATGCTGTCTTTGCACTCTTATCTACATGTTATATGTCATTAATATTTTCTAAGGTATTACCTCAGCTTTTAGAAGTACAATTTATGGAAAAGCAATAACATTGTGGTAGGACAAAAAAGGAAAAATTTGCAAAATTTTGTCATGCGTGCTTTTCAGTGACATATACACTCGTCAGCCACTAAACACACACATCACAGTAAAAACGTATTTCAGTACTTGAATTCAAAAAGTGAAACGCACAGACTATTTTAGGATTTTTAGAGAGCTAGCTTAAAGCTCATGCAAACGCCATCTTCACCATCTCAGGAAATCATTTATCAAATATCGAAATTAACTAGGAAAAAGTGTTTCATGAATCAAATGAGTTTCACTTTTTGAATTGAACGACTGGAATGGATGACTTCTTCCATGACAATCTAATGCATTGTGACGCATATAAGTTGACTGTTTTTGATGGATTCATTTTGCTGGTGTGCACAACATGGCTGATGAGTGTACGTACAACATTTTACAAGAGTGTTATTGGTTAATGTATTTATTACAATTTTTAATAGTAAAAAAAGCTTTGGTAATATTTAGTGGTGCTGCTGTACTTGTTGCTCCTCAGATGTCAAATACAAGTCCTAATTGTCACTACATCAGCCCTTTCTTTATATTCTCCCCGCTGCCTCACTCTGCTGTGTAATCTCATGCCAGCTGCAGCTCTAACCCAGTGACGCCTTGCTGCTAACGTCATTTCGTATTTGCCTGGCAAAAAATAAGAGACAGACACGTCGCTATGGTTACCATAATGCTCCACCTGCCTTTTCATTGCTTCCATGGTTCCCCCTTCCTGAGCCAGTCCCCATGATGTACAGTGCTACGCCTGCTAGTGTCTCTGCAGCAACTTCTCCCGCCACAAGTGTCCCCTACGCAGCAACAGCACCAGCCAATCAGGTTTGCTCCTTTTTTTTTTTTTTTTTTGGGTTTCCTTTCAAAGCTTTTAGTCAAGACAACCTTGGGCTCTTTTACATTGAAGGAGTCGCTTTGTGTCCCTGCTTGCATCGGCTGTCATTGAGCTTCATGTTGCCCGTCGATCAGCTACTTCTTCGAGGACAGGCAATGCTTGTAGACACTTGCAAACACTTGTGTGTCAATTTTCACACTCCTATTTGCTTTTCTCACCGTCTTTCACATTACCACGATTGCAGGATTTACCAAATGTTCTCCTGGGTTGTGAGGATATGCAGGGGAACCTCTTAATTTGAACCCGTAAAAATCAGTTTTGGGTTTTTTTTTTTTTTTTTGCGGGGGGGGGGTTGGGAGGTGGAGTTTTATACTTTTACCTTCTTTTATACGAAACAATGTAAAGTGTTGGTTTTTTTAGCGCCAGTTTTTTTTTGATAGTGACAGTAACAGTGGTCGAGCTGGCTTTCGGCAACAGTCTATCTGCAGCCATGCACAGTGCTCTCTGTTGTGGTCGGTGCCTCCCAGAAAGTGTCGCTCCCCAGAGTGTGTGTGTTCGCCTGAGGGAGAAAGAAATTGCCACAAGCTTTTGTGCTCATCTGCAGCTTGTTAAGAAAAAAAATGCACGTAATAATCTGTAGAGACATTTTGCTTACACAAACGACAGTTGGGGCACGCCCAAAAATAATACAAACTTAGTGTGCCATGCCTTATATATTTAATATACTGTATAGTGCAGTTAAACAGCTCACTCTACAGCATTGACAAGAGTTGAAAGAGCGACTGGTTAGAAAATGTGACACATTTTCACACACACAGCATACCTTCAAATAATAGAACAAGTGTGAATAACTTTTAACCATTAAACTGGTTCCCCACTGGTTCCATTTGACGAGACGATTAATGGTGTAGGTTTAGAGTTTAGCACTCTCCTTCCAACTATGCAGCTGCTTTGACACATACATTTTTCCCCCCATATGACATACAGTAGATATATTCTTAATGATTGAAAAAAAAAATCAAATCCTCTCAAATATAAGAATTACGCATACTATGTTACGGCTGACATCAGCCAGTTCATTTTAATACATTGCTAAGATCTGATTGGAATCGGTATCGGCAAATACTCAATACCAAGTGGCTCAACTTGGACTTGGTTGCAGAGAAATGGGACTCAAAGTATCTCTCTCTGCTTACCTACTGGCTTTCACATGGTTTGGCAAAATAGGGAAAAAAATGACACATTTGACCCCAATCTCTTCCATCTCCGCAACATTTGATGGATATTTAAGAGCATTTGGACATCGTTTTCATGTTTCTACCCTTTCTGAAACAGATCATTCTCAAGTAACCACCAGAACCAGGACTCAGTGCCACAAAGATCCGGAGCAGTCCATCTGTACATACACTGTTCACTGCGTACGTCACCCGCAGCAAGCCGCATGCTGATCAAGCACCACAAGTGGAGTACATGACCACATAGAGTACGGTATTGCATCAAGGTCACACAACGAGACCCTACGCATGGACATACTCTACATGCGTTTGCCAGTGTAAATCATCTGCGTTGCATTTTTTTCATCGAAACAACTGGGGAAAAAGTAACATAACGGTAGTTAGAACCATATGAACAGCAATGTACTGGATGATACTAACAGGAAATGTTAGCTGAAATTTAAATGATGTAAATAGTCACGTCCGAAGTGTGTTCATCATGGTAGTCCCCGTCGTAAAGGGGTAACAACCATATTAGAGATTGTTCACTTTCTTGTATGCGTCGTTTCTTTGTCATGATTGTTTGACCTTGTGCCAGATTCAATTGCTTTATTAGCAGCTATTAAAAAGCACTTATTTTAAATTATATGAATATAAATATGGCCCTCAGTGTACAGGCTTTTATCTCCAGTGAGCAGTGCTCCTCCACCTGGTGTGCCTTTGCATTGCATTGAAAGTCTGTTTGCCACTGTCGACCCACCCGAATGTGCTCTCTAAGGGCACGGATGAATTTTCCCCTCAAAAGCTAATATTTAAATGATGGGTCCTTATGATAGGCATTTTACATAACCGTAAAGAGTTTATTCAGTGTATATTCAAACAGAAGTGTAATCCTGCAAGGACTGAACTATTATTGTAACTGTTAAGTCTTGAAAGTTACAAGTGCCTAAAGAGTTGTCATATTTAAGGGGCTTCGAACGACATTGTCCTGTATTTAAAAAAAAAAAAAAAAATTAAGATCTAGAAAGTCGTGAACATGTCTTAAATGCTTTGTGAAGACTTTTATGAATATTTATGTACCTTCATTATCATTAAGAATTATTCTCTACTCTTTATTTTCTTTCATATTTAAGATGACTTTGTAGTTCCCCTTTGCCCACACGACAAAGTTTCTTAAGTAGTTGAATGTGCAGATTATTAGAAAATTTTAACGAAGGATGTTCAGTTTAGTTTCTGAAGACAAAATGGAGGACATTGTGTTAAATATGTCGATTGTTACTTTTATTCCTCAATTTTATAAACTTTTAAAATGTTCACTTGAGATGGGCATTTGATTGTATTTTGTGGATCGACCATTGGGATTAATTACCATTGTTTACCGTTCTCCATATCTCTTTCCATGCCAGCTTCAAATTGGGCATAATAATGCAGCTAGCAGGAACAACTTCTCAATTCATTCATCCGTCAATTTCATGCAATTCTTGATAATGAATTACTCAATCAATATGCCCCTTCTAAGTTGTTGTTTTTTTTTTTTTTTTTTTTTTTTTTT